TTACCTGAGCTGTGAGATATAAGGCACACACTGCAGGAAACTCCTCACTTCACTCTCTTCATCTGACCAGCCTGTCAGCTCCACTTGTTTCTTCTCTGATTGGAGTTTCAGCACTTCCAGGAGGATGGAGGTCTTTCTCTCTGAGAGGTCTATGATCCAGACTGGAGCAGCTGACTGGAAAAATGACTGTAATGCTGGAAGGACACTCAGGCCTGTTTTACACTCATAGTCCTTCACATGGGAGAAAAGATGCTGCAGGAAATACAACTGATATGATGTATCATAATTCCCCATGTGTCTGTCAGTAAGAGGGAATGTGTTGTATCTGCACACTGATGATAACATCTCCAGTATCTTCTCTCCTGTCTGCTGTTCTCTCTCTGCTGCTGCACACAACAGATTCCCACAGATCTCGGCTCCATCTGAGACTGTAGACCAGGGAGAGAAACTGGAAGGAGAATAAAACATTTTGTTACGATGTCAGTAGCAGAAAAAGAGACACACAATACTGACATACAGGGAGAGTAGCTGCTAAAAGTCTACAAAATACCTGCTAATCAGCATAACACAGTAACATCAATCAGCCTGAAATTCAACTAACAATGACAAAGGCTTTTACTAACTAACTTCACAACATGTTTCAGGAACCAGGAATGTCACACAACAATGCTGGATCCTCAAATCATTTATGAATCAGTTAGCTCCACAGACTGAAACACTAGAGCACAGTTTGAACATCCATCATTCTGTAAAACTCTTTACAAGTGAATAAAGTCCTAGTGAAGCATAATTAGGATTTCCAGTGGTTTACTTTCACTTCCTCATGACGTCTTATTTAATGTCAGTGAAGAAAAAAAGCTGGAAATCCTCTCATTCACTTCTTCTCATCATTCATTGTTAAAACATGCTCCTCAGTTACTCTTCATTCATTGGTTATATTAGAGTCAGAGCAGCCAATCAATGAGCTTTTCACCCAGCATCAGTGACTGATCACATTTAGTGATAAAGATTTAAAGTGATTCGGTTGTCAAAGTGTGAAGGGCTTTAAAAAGCTCTTTAGGACTCCTACAGTAAATCCAACACTAACACACTGATGGAGTTAAAGGGGAACCACCATGTGTGGCTGTTCTCTACTGGAGGAAACTCCTGCTTCATCCTGACACTTGGAACAACACAAGAAACAAGCTGTGAAACAGTAAGAAGAGACAAGCAGAGCACTTCCATCACTGGTGCTGAGGGAGAACTCAACTACTACTCATCACTACACTGATGCTCTCTGTTGCTGACACTGCTGGAGCTTGTTGGACACATGATTGTAGCTGAGTCTCTGTTCACGTTTGACTCAGCTGATAGATGACACATGAAAACAGCCTTAATGTAGCACAACTCTTCATGTTCAAAACAAACTAGCAGCTTGGTGAAGTCAACATGAACCAGCTCATAAGAGAGGAGCAGGACTCTGTAGCAGTGTTACCTTTCTGCCCTAAGGAACTCTGGGTAATGTAGTCATAAGTACACTGTAGTGGGTGGAGTCAAAAATGTCCCATCAGTAAAACTACACTCCATGATGTAATGTTCATGTGGACTGATCATTGAAGACGTTACCTTAACCTCCACTCTAACAGTGAGGTGGTGTAGATGTAAGAACACAGCTCCACACATGTAAACTGAAGTCATGTTTACTACAGTCCATTTACCTGAGCTGTGAGATATAAGGCACACACTGCAGGAAACTCCTCACTTCACTCTCTTCATCTGACCAGCCTCTCAGCTCCACTTGTTTCTTCTCTGATTGGAGTTTCAGCACTTCCAGGAGGATGGAGGTCTTTCTCTCTGAGAGGTCTATGATCCAGACTGGAGCAGCTGACTGGAAAAATGACTGTAATGCTGGAAGGACACTCAGGCCTGTTTTAGACTCATAGTCCTTCACATGGGAGAAAAGCTCCAGCAGGAAATCACACTGATATGATGTATGATAATTCCCCATGTCTCTGTCACTAAGAGGGAATGTGTTGTATCTGCACACTGATGATAACATCTCCAGTATCTTCTCTCCTGTCTGCTGTTCTCTCTCTGCTGCTGCACACAACAGATTCCCACAGATCTCGGCTCCATCTGAGGCTTCAAACCAGCGAGAGAAACTGGAAGGAGAATAAAACATTTTGTTACGATGTCAGTAGCAGAAAAAGAGACACACAATACTGACATACAGGGAGAGTAGCTGCTAAAAGTCTACAAAATACCTGCTAATCAGCATAACACAGTAACATCAATCAGCCTGAAATTCAACTAACAATGACAAAGGCTTTTACTAACTAACTTCACAACATGTTTCAGGAACCAGGAATGTCACACAACAATGCTGGATCCTCAAATCATTTATGAATCAGTTAGCTCCACAGACTGAAACACTAGAGCACAGTTTGAACATCCATCATTCTGTAAAACTCTTTACAAGTGAATAAAGTCCTAGTGAAGCATAATTAGGATTTCCAGTGGTTTACTTTCACTTCCTCATGACGTCTTATTTAATGTCAGTGAAGAAAAAAAGCTGGAAATCCTCTCATTCACTTCTTCTCATCATTCATTGTTAAAACATGCTCCTCAGTTACTCTTCATTCATTGGTTGTATTAGAGTCAGAGCAGCCAATCAATGAGCTTTTCACGCAGCATCAGTGACTGATCACATTTAGTGATAAAGATTTAAAGTGATTCGGTCGTCAAAGTGTGAAGGGCTTTAAAAAGCTCTTTAGGACTCCTACAGTAAATCCAACACTAACACACTGATGGAGTTAAAGGGGAACCACCATGTGTGGCTGTTCTCTACTGGAGGAAACTCCTGCTTCATCCTGACACTTGGAACAACACAAGAAACAAGCTGTGAAACAGTAAGAAGAGACAAGCAGAGCACTTCCATCACTGGTGCTGAGGGAGAACTCAACTACTACTCATCACTACACTGATGCTCTCTGTTGCTGACACTGCTGGAGCTTGTTGGACACATGATTGTAGCTGAGTCTCTGTTCACGTTTGACTCAGCTGATAGATGACACATGAAAACAGCCTTAATGTAGCACAACTCTTCATGTTCAAAACAAACTAGCAGCTTGGTGAAGTCAACATGAACCAGCTCATAAGAGAGGAGCAGGACTCTGTAGCAGTGTTACCTTTCTGCCCTAAGGAACTCTGGGTAATGTAGTCATAAGTACACTGTAGTGGGTGGAGTCAAAAATGTCCCATCAGTAAAACTACACTCCATGATGTAATGTTCATGTGGACTGATCATTGAAGACGTTACCTTAACCTCCACTCTAACAGTGAGGTGGTGTAGATGTAAGAACACAGCTCCACACATGTAAACTGAAGTCATGTTTACTACAGTCCATTTACCTGAGCTGTGAGATATAAGGCACACACTGCAGGAAACTCCTCACTTCACTCTCTTCATCTGACCAGCCTCTCAGCTCCACTTGTTTCTTCTCTGATTGGAGTTTCAGCACTTCCAGGAGGATGGAGGTCTTTCTCTCTGAGAGGTCTATGATCCAGACTGGAGCAGCTGACTGGAAAAATGACTGTAATGCTGGAAGGACACTCAGGCCTGTTTTAGACTCATAGTCCTTCACATGGGAGAAAAGCTCCAGCAGGAAATCACACTGATATGATGTATGATAATTCCCCATGTCTCTGTCACTAAGAGGGAATGTGTTGTATCTGCACACTGATGATAACATCTCCAGTATCTTCTCTCCTGTCTGCTGTTCTCTCTCTGCTGCTGCACACAACAGATTCCCACAGATCTCGGCTCCATCTGAGGCTTCAAACCAGCGAGAGAAACTGGAAGGAGAATAAAACATTTTGTTACGATGTCAGTAGCAGAAAAAGAGACACACAATACTGACATACAGGGAGAGTAGCTGCTAAAAGTCTACAAAATACCTGCTAATCAGCATAACACAGTAACATCAATCAGCCTGAAATTCAACTAACAATGACAAAGGCTTTTACTAACTAACTTCACAACATGTTTCAGGAACCAGGAATGTCACACAACAATGCTGGATCCTCAAATCATTTATGAATCAGTTAGCTCCACAGACTGAAACACTAGAGCACAGTTTGAACATCCATCATTCTGTAAAACTCTTTACAAGTGAATAAAGTCCTAGTGAAGCATAATTAGGATTTCCAGTGGTTTACTTTCACTTCCTCATGACGTCTTATTTAATGTCAGTGAAGAAAAAAAGCTGGAAATCCTCTCATTCACTTCTTCTCATCATTCATTGTTAAAACATGCTCCTCAGTTACTCTTCATTCATTGGTTGTATTAGAGTCAGAGCAGCCAATCAATGAGCTTTTCACGCAGCATCAGTGACTGATCACATTTAGTGATAAAGATTTAAAGTGATTCGGTCGTCAAAGTGTGAAGGGCTTTAAAAAGCTCTTTAGGACTCCTACAGTAAATCCAACACTAACACACTGATGGAGTTAAAGGGGAACCACCATGTGTGGCTGTTCTCTACTGGAGGAAACTCCTGCTTCATCCTGACACTTGGAACAACACAAGAAACAAGCTGTGAAACAGTAAGAAGAGACAAGCAGAGCACTTCCATCACTGGTGCTGAGGGAGAACTCAACTACTACTCATCACTACACTGATGCTCTCTGTTGCTGACACTGCTGGAGCTTGTTGGACACATGATTGTAGCTGAGTCTCTGTTCACGTTTGACTCAGCTGATAGATGACACATGAAAACAGCCTTAATGTAGCACAACTCTTCATGTTCAAAACAAACTAGCAGCTTGGTGAAGTGAACATGAACCAGCTCATAAGAGAGGAGCAGGACTCTGTAGCAGTGTTACCTTTCTGCCCTAAGGAACTCTGGGTAATGTAGTAATAAGTACGCTGTAGTGGGTGGAGTCAAAAATGTCCCATCAGTAAAACTACACTCCATGATGTAATGTTCATGTGGACTGATCATTGAAGACGTTACCTTAACCTCCACTCTAACAGTGAGGTGGTGTAGATGTAAGAACACAGCTCCACACATGTAAACTGAAGTCATGTTTACTACAGTCCATTTACCTGAGCTGTGAGATATAAGGCACACACTGCAGGAAACTCCTCACTTCACTCTCTTCATCTGACCAGTCTGTCAGCTCCACTTGTTTCTTCTCTGGTTGGAGTTTCAGCACTTCCAGGAGGATGGAGGTCTTTCTCTCTGAGAGGTCTATGATCCAGACTGGAACTGACTGGAAAACTGACTGTAATGCTGGAAGGACACTCAGATCTTTTTCAGTGTCATAAGAGAACAGGTCCAGGAAAAAATGACACCATTTCTGTTTCAGAGGGAATGTGTTGTATCTGCACACTGATGATAACATCTCCAGTATCTTCTCTCCTGTCTGCTGTTCTCTCTCTGCTGCTGCACACAACAGATTCACAAAGAACCTGGTCTCTTCTGAATGATCTGATGACCGAGGCACAAAACTGAAATCACAAGGATAAAAAAACGTGATGTATTGTTATTATCCGAGAAAAACAATTTTTTTTTTTATGTGGACTTTCTTATATTAATTTAATTAAATGCAGAAATCATTAAGAAGATAATTTACCTGAGCTGTGAGATATAAGGCACACACTCCAGGAAACTCCTCACTTCACTCTCTTCATCTGACCAGTCTGTCAGCTCCACTTGTTTCTTCTCTGATTTGAGTTTCAGCACTTCCAGGAGGATGGAGGTCTTTCTCTTTGAGAGGTCTATGATCCAGACTGGAGGAGCTGACTGGAAAAGCGACCTCAGCTGTTGATTGACACTTGAACACCCCTTACTCTTGACATGTTGGTAAAAATCAAGATGAATGTTATTTAAGTCAGTGTTAACAGAAAACAATGAGAAGAGCACGTTCACTACACTTTGAAAGATATCTCCTTTGTGTAGTGCTGCTTTCAGGCAAAGGTCCAGCAACAGCCCCTTTTCTTCCCTCCGCAGTTTCCCATGGCACTGGTCCTGGTCCTGTAATCCCAGACCTCTGTAGGTTGTTCTGAAGCTGCATGATGATAAGCAAACACATCTGTAAACAACACATTTGTATTGCATGTACAGTAAAACTGCTTCATCTTAAAATGTAAGCACATAATGTATGGCTGTAAACAAATATAATGTCACAGGCAGTTGTGATGCTTATCTATACACATCTTGGACACTATTTCTGAGGCAGAACAACAGAAAAAGCGGGAAACCATCAAGGAAGAGATGAATGTTCAGAATTATCCTACACAATGAGGCCCACTTTAACCTTTATGTATTCAGGTTAGAGGCAAGCTCTCTTTTACAGGAACGTACTGATTGCATACAGTCTGCTCAATCAGTGTGAGGAGCAGCTTTACTCTGTGCGCCACAATGTGCGAGAGCTCAGCACACCATGAGGGCTTCCAGTACTCTATCTCCAGCCAAGTGAGTCGCCACGATGAACAGATGTAACAGCTGTTGGGGCGCCTCAACTCGTTGAGCTGTCTGGCTCAACCTCCGGCGGCTGCTCCTTCACCACCACAACCTCCTTGTCAGGTGATGCAGATAACTGTCGAGCCTTCCTGGTGCAGTGTGGCCATTATTTTGAGATGCAGGGTTATCTAAGGGAATAAAAGACCTGCTGGTTGCTTTGGAGCGCCCTGCTGACCTGGACTCCTTCATCTCCCTGTCCATCTAGATCACCAATCGGCTGAAGCGGAGAGAGAGAGGGACCGATCAAGTATGCAACTTCCTTGTCATGCCAGAGGGGGGCCCTGTTTAACCAGAGACCCTTTCCCCGTCATCCCTCTCCACGATCTGCCGTGTCACCCATAGAACCCCGACACTCCTGAGAGGAATCCATGCAGCTGGGACGAGCCTATCTCACTTTGGAGAAGCGACAGCGGTGCCTTCGGGAGGGGTGTTGCATCTACTGTTCTCAACATGGACATTTTCTGGCTGATTGTCCAGTAAAAGACAGGGCTCACCACTGAAGAAGAGGGCACTGGTGAGCCGAACAACTTCCTCTGCCTTCTTCACTCATCCTATGATCAGCTCCAGTTACTCACCCTGTTTTCCACCTTCTCTCTTCAGGTGTTAGTGGACTCCTGAGCTGACAAGACCTTCATGAAGTTAGCAAAAAGATTGATGATTTCAGTTCTTCCCTTGACTAAACCTCTTGAGGCTAGTGCTCTGGATGGAAGGCTTCTCTACAAGGTCATTCACCGCACTTAACCTGATAAGATGATCATGGCTCAAGGACACTCAGAGGAGCTATCCTTCCAACTATACAAGTCACCTCTCCATCTGCTCATTCTGGGTCTTCCTTGTCTCTCCTGGCACAACCCTTGCATCAACTAGGCTACTGGAGAGGTGATGGGTTGGGGGTAGAATTGCCCAATAACCTGTTTGTCTTCTGTCTGTTCTCCGAGCTCCTGTCGAGAACAACCTATACAGGCTGACCCAGGGCCTCCTGATCAGCCCCCTCTGGAACCTACCCCCAGTTCAGCATGTTCAGACCTGTTGTTGGAAGTCTTCAGCAAGTCCCAAGCCACCTCTCTTCCCCCTCACTGGGAGTATGACTGTGCCATTGACCCACTTCCTGGTTCGACTCCCCCTAAAGGGCGCCATGGACAAATATATATCTAGACATCACTCAAAGTTGGCATAATTTGTCCTTCCCTGTTCTGGACTGGAGCTGGATTCTTTTCTGCATACAAAAGAATGAATCTCTTCGCCCCTGTATTGATTACTGAAGACTCAATGACATCACCATCAAAAACGAGTACCCTCTTTCTCTCTTTTCCTTAGCATTTCAATACTGACATGAAGAGCGCTTTTAACGTTCCTGGTGGGTATTGCATCTCATAATGCCCTTTGGGCTAACCAATGCTCCAGCCGTTTTTCAGACACTAGTGAATGATGCACTAAGGGAAACGTTGAACAAGTTTGTGTTCGTCCACCCAGCTGACATCCTCATCTTCTCACTGGTCGAGCTGACTCACACTCAGAATGTGCGGCAGATTCTCCAGCATCTTCTGGATCATCAGCTCGTCGTCAAGGTGGAGCAGTCTGAATTCCACGTTTACTCTGTCCCTCTCCCAGGACAGCATTAACATGGACCCAGCTACAGTCAGTGCTGTAGCCAAATGACTAACATCCTTCAATAACAGACAGCTGCAACATTTTCTTGGGTTTGCTAATTTCTGTGGAAAATTCATTAGAAATTCCAGCACTGTGGCAACCCCATTACATGCTCTAACCTCCACCAATGTCTAGTTCCAGTGGTCCCCTCAAGCAGACCAAACATTCTCAAAGCTTAAGGACAGCTTTGCCACTGCTCCACGTCTCACTCTACCTGACCCACACCTCCAGTGTGTGGTGGAGGTGGATGTTGAGGTGGGGGCCATGCTTTTGTCCCTGAAACTGTCTCAAGCTGAGCAGAACTATGATGTGGGAAATCAAGAGGTACTGGCAGTCAAGATGGCGCTAGAGGAGTGGAGACACTAGTTGGAGGGGGCAGAGCTACCTCATATGGACAGATCACAAGAATATGGAATATATACGGACAGCCAAGAGATTAAATTCCCGGCAAGCCGGGTGGGCTCTGTTTTTTAATGGATTCAATTTTTCATTATCATATCGTCCTGGTACAAAAAATGTTATGCCTGATGCTTTGTCCCACTAGTTTGAGTCTGACTCCTCCAGCGACTCTCCATTCTCATAACATAACATGACCAATCTGAACAGGATGACATGTACAGGTTTCTTCTAGGCGTCACCTTCGTTGAAATCATAGTGTGTGGATCTGGTGTTGGCAGCTTCTCAGCAAACCTGAAAGGTTTTCTATGGCAGATATATCACTTCCAAAACTTGAACTATTATTAAACACTCTTTAGCCACAGTGTGATTCAAACATTATTAGCACTGGCACTGGAAGCTATCTGGCTGAAATACAAGATGCTTTTCCAGAAAATAAATCAAGACAGCTGAGGTGAGGATTTGAGTGTAAGGCAGTTGTCCTCTTGGGGCAAACTGTGGCTTATAAAATAACGACATGGTTCAGGTATCCCATTTAAAAACTGTTTTTCTTCCTCTGTGCGGGCGACAAGTCAGAGCCGGAGGCATCTTGTTTTCAGGTTGTCCGTCCGTCTGTCCTTATGGACTCGATTTCTCAGTAGAAATGAACTGATTAGATTTCGATGGTCGAAGCTCAAAGGTCATGGTGACCTCACAAAGCCCTGTTTTGGCCTTGTAAATGCAATATCTCCATAACGCCTTGAGGGAATTTCTTCAAATTTGGTACAAATGTTCACTTGGACTCAAGGATGAACTGATAAAGGTCAAAGGTCACTGACCTAACAAAACACTTTTTAGCCATAACTCCAGTCATCACACAGCAATTATCACAAAATTTCACATAAATGGTTCATATTTTATATGACTGTGGATATAGTCAGTGGAGAAGGTAATAAGCAGTAAGCCAGAAATACAAAAATCAAAAAGTTTTAAAATATGTCAGCATTACACAAAAACAAAAGCTACATACCTGAGTGAGCTGATGTAGGGCAAAGCCTCTAAGAGGGACTCACACAGACTTGGAGAGACAGAAGTCACTCTGTCCCAGTACAGGCAGACATTAACCTTCATAGTAATCTTCTGCATGACTTTTACAGCTCTTTCAAACAGCTGTCTTTTACCCTCAACTGGAAGGTGCAGCTGATTTCCATCAAGGCTAAGTAAGCTGACATGGTCCATCTGCCCTTCACTGAGAAGGAAAATCTTCCACATCTGCCGTGGAAGCGGGTCACACCTGTAATGTGAAGAACAATCAAAGACGATTTCCTCATTAAAAATGTAATAAACATGAAAGGATCATTCTCGTTATATTTTCCATTGGTTTTCTATACTCGCTTGGGGCACACTCAAAACACACACAGACGTACCACTGGACGTTTGTAAGGCATCCAAACAGTCGTCTCATTCCTCGTTCTGATACCATGACGTCTTCAAGGTTCAGCTGTATTTTCTTCTCCTTTGACTGAGCGACCACATAGGCCACAGCACAGCAAGAGTAAGGATCGAGGCTCTGTTCACTGAGATCCAGACAGTAGTCCAGTTTGTCCAGAAGGTAGATGCAGGCTTCAGGACACTGGGACTCATACAAGCACTGACATAAGAAAAGTATGTCCACATCAGACCCACTGTCCTCAGTGTCAGACTCATCTCGCTCACACAGACATTGAAAAAATGTGGTTATCACTTCCTTACAGAACCATATAGGTGTATTCTTGAGCTCCTCAGCCGGAATCAGACACTTCATCAAACTTGGTTTCTTCTCATTCAACAATCTACACATGAAAGGGATCAGATGTCTCATGTGTTTCTTCTCCTCAGTCAGGCATTGCTGAAAAACATCCTTCACTTTCTCTGGATTCTTCAAGAGCCACAGTGCTGCAAAAAACTCCTGCATTGTGTAATGGAGAAATGCATATGTGGTATCTCTCTCAGTAAGGGCGACTTTGATAACAAGTGGTTTCAGGAAGGAAAGGACGCAGCTGTCTTTACAGGCCAGGTCTGTCAAGTTCACAGTTTTTCCTTCGGTTGCATCAAAAGCAACCTGAGCCAAAGACAGTATTTCCTTCCCCTTATTGGTGATGAAGGAATTTAGATCCCTCTTTTTTGTTTTGTTGCTGTTCATTTTAAGGCAAAAACGAACAATATTGATGTATACTTCAGTTATAGTGCAGGGCTGTGGAGAGTCTCCTGAAGAAAAGCAGGCAGCCACCATCAGTGCATACATTGGGACGTGGCAAAGACTTAACAACTCCAAGTTGCTCAAAACCTTCTTCTGTTCTTCGCCGAGTGTTGCAGATAAGTATGTTTTTATGGACTGCTCACTAAAGCCTTTCACTTCCACTCTGAGAAAGTCCCCAGAGAAGAGCTCCTCGTCATCTGGTCTGCACGTTATGATGATTTTTGCATCAGGTAGTAGGTCTTTCTCTACAAGTCTCCGCACCACTGATGAAGACAGGTCTGTGATTCCATCAAAAATGACGGTAACATTCTCAGAGTTATTCTTTATATCATCTAAGACCTCTTCTTTGCCTGTTACCGGTTCACTGAACACGTTAAAAAGAAGATCCTCCAAGCTCATGTTGATGGTGAATTGGGATGTTTCTCTCATGCCAAAGTAAAACATGTAATCTAGCTCTTTGCTGTCTCGTTCTGCCCAGAGTTTCAACATTTCCTGAGTGAGTGCCGTCTTTCCAATTCCAGGCTTACCAACCAACACTGTGCTCTTGTCTGTTTTCAGCAGGTCACTGGGGGAAATTTCTGGTTTGTCCTCAGGGATGTATGTCCTTAGCTTTTTAGGGCGACTCATCTTGCTTTTCTTGCTCTTCAATTTCTTTATTTTAGACGGAGAGACATTTCCTTGTGTGTTTAATACAAGTGATGTGTATGACAGATCAGGCTTGTTGCTTCCTTCAAACAGATCTTTGTTTTCTTTCCAAAACTCATTTGATATTCTTTCTGCTTTTATCTTCAGCTTTGCCTGATATCTGTAGCACGGCCTTGGACCTAAAACAAAACCAGCACTGAGTAAATAAATGTACTGTCAATTGACTGCTGAGTCCATACACACTCTTACTAAACAGTGGATGAATATTTGAGTGACACATTATCAATCAGAACTCAGAATCAAAATACCTTGTAAATAGTTCATATCCATTTGTGTGTCTTCTTTGAAAGGATAGCAGCTGATCCAGTGGTGCAGGTCAAACGTCTTGGTCTCACTAGAAGCTCCACTCTTTTTCTCAGGGGGGAGGGGCGGCCTCCCTAAGGTCCTCCCCCTCGTCATGTCAATGATCCTGAGGAACTCGTAACAAGCTGCTTCACCTTTTTTTATGACTAAGGTCAGTATATGTCTGGTTTTATCATAGTCATCAGTCTCTGCCTGTATCTTGCTGACCTCTTCATCAGTGAGAACTTTTCGCTGATACAAGTTCTCCACAATCACTGAGAGACTCTTTAATTCTCCCACCAGCTGGACTCTTGCCTGCTTGACATAGTCTAAGGCAGACTGTGTTGTACAGGCCATGTTCTGACTGTTTGTTCAGCACACACACCCTACTTCAATGACCTGGAAAACAAGAAATAAAATGTTCATTATATAATTATTTGCCTGTGATCTATTAACTACAATGTAAAACATCTGGAATCTTTCATATTAACAGAAACATGTTTGTAAGACTGTCCAAACATCATGCAGCGGCAGCAATTTAACAGTTTAACATCAGTTCTGATGGTGTCAATCCAAGATGGAGTTCTGTGTCCTTCTGTGCAAATGTGGCTCCTCTGTGGCTCACCTGGTCGAGCGCATACCACATGAAAGTTAGAGGCCTAACTGCAGCACCCGTGGGTTCAAGTCTGACCAACGACACTTTGCTGCATGTCATCCTGACTTTACTGTCTCTCTCTCTCACTGTGACTGTCACGATAAAGGCAAAAATGCCCAAAAAAATATTAATGAAGAATGTGCAAAATGACAGAGTAGGTAATCCAAACATTCCTTCTACTTTATAGTGTCAGGCCTCATATTGGCAGATCCACCACCACATTACATGTATATTGTCTGCAGCACAGTTAAAAGGCCTCGCTGGACCCAGTCCTTCTGAAATAGTTTAAAAATGCTCTGAGACTATTCAGTAAAACACCCAGCAGCTGAAGACACTAGTATTTTTCTTATGAGATGGTAAAAAACCCAAATCACACCTAAGAGGACAGTAAATGTAGACTTGTTGGTAGCACCCATCACTAAACTGAAGCATAGTCTTAAAATGCAATGGTCAGTCTATGAGCCTAGTCAATAAACTACAGCTTGCTTTTAAAATATTGACGGATATTTTACAATGTGCACAACTTTTAAAAGGAAATATTTAACACAAAAACACTTTTATCCAAAGTGACTTACAAGTGAAGGACATCAGAAAGCTTCAGTGCAGTAAGTGTGTAAGTATCAAGTACTATCTATTTGATACGTGCAAGGAGAGTGTGTAAGGACGTGCACCAAAAGTTCACAGTAGGAGCCAGTTAGACATGTGAGGGTGTTAGAGGTGTTAGGAGAGGAGGTGCTCTGTGAAGAGAGTCTTCAACAGACTCTTGAAGACAGAGAGGGACGCTCCTGCTCTGATAGACATGGGTAGACCAGACCAGACCAGACCAGTCTGGACTGAGACTGTCTTGTGTGCAGGATGGTGATGACAGACCACATTCATCAGAGGAACACAGTGTCTGAGAAGGAATGATTAAGGTCAACTAGATGGATCAGACCCAGATGTCTCTCTGAAGGCAGCATTAGAGACTGAATCAGATTCAGGCAGTGATGGGTAGCCAGTGGAGGTCGATGAGTGGCAGAGTGACATGTGACCTTCTGGGCTGATTGAAGACCAGACAGGCTGCTGCATTCTGGATCATCTTTGAGAGAGAGTAACTGTTGTTTAGATATGGAATCAGCAGTTATGAAAGACTGAACGATTTGCCGGATTCGCTGCAGTTTCTCTTCGGGAAGAGATGCTTTCATGTCAATGTTGTCAAGCGAGAACTCTAGAAACTCGGACCAATAGTTTTTTTTATCTGACAGAGGAACGCCGAGATAACTAAACAAGAGTTTTAGTTTTGACAAGGAGGAACCAGAGCTGTCATTTGGTGGGTAAATTAGCAGAAATTCATCAAAGAGATGAATCAAGGATGGCAGTCTAACGTTGTTAAGAAGGATCCAACAGAGGTCTTCTGACACAGAATTAAAAATGCATGGACTACTTCTACAACCAAAAGTTAATCTAAAGCTTGGAGTTCCACTTTATGCTGAAGAAGTGCCACTGTGATGGATGTATAGGGACGATTTTGAACGCATCTATGATATCTGCCTTGGATAGCCATGCACCCTGACCTGCTACTTTGATTGATTGTTTTATCGCATTATCCACTGTTGTGTAATAAAGGGAGAATGGGACGGGAGGGATGAGACTGTTCATGCTGACGACAGGAACAGAGCGAGGAGTCGATAAATCAAAGATTAGTCTTTTCTTGCTGAACGATGCACACGCTGCAAATGTGGAGAAAGATGCAGCTTGAGTAAGTACAGACACTTTAGTTGAAGTTATTGCAAATGGGCCTGTTATTTAACAATTGCACCTTTCGACCTTGGCTGTCAGTCATGGGATGAAGAGGAGGGGCTTGTGAACGCAGGGGCGAAGGGTTCACTGGCTGTGAAGCTGGTGGCAAAAAAGGCAGCTGAAGGCAGAGGCAGAGACAGCGGGAGTGGCCTAGATTGCTGCAGGTTGAGCTGCTAGGAGAACCTCCAATGAGCATGAGAAGTATCTCTGTGTCCAGGACTGACCAATTTAGGTGGATGTTGGACACAGAGATATATAGAGCTGCCTTGCTAGAAAAAGTTTTGTGATACTTGCACTAAGCTTCATTTAGTTGAAGGTGATGCTCCATCATCCATATGGAGATTTCAGAGAGATAGGCTGAGATCCACTCAGAAACAGTGGGGTTGTCTGGTGGGAATGACAGGTATAATGACAGGTATAGCTGGGTGTCATCAGCATAGCAGTGATATGAGGAGCCATGTGAGTGGATAATTGGACCCACATGTTTCTTTTGTATATTATAAAGAACTGGCTTCATTCTTTTTTCCAACTAATTATAATATTCAAAGGGCAGACAAAACTAAATTAATATTGTATTAACAAAGAAGACACTTACACATAAGCCTCAAACTCCACAGATGATGGACTCCATCAGCTGGTCAGTTCCTTTGGTACATGATTTTCCTGATCACAAGATACAAAAGTCACAAAATATCATCATGCCAATAATTAGCAGGGAACAAGTAGCAAGTTCCAAAACTCCCAGACCAAGATAGTATTATCAGTTAGAATTCATCCATGAAATCATCAGTAAATCATCACAAATCCACATTTCAAAATCCTGTTTTTCTGCCCCTTCCTTATACAGATTCAGTTTAATGAACTCACTAAAATCTGTTTATGCAGTGCGCTTGGACTGTCCACAGGCCATAACCCAGACGACAGAAGAGAGCAGTTGATGATACATTAATCTGAGTCACCCTCAGTTATCACCTAACAATTCAGCTTTATGAGCAGCAGTGTGCATTAATTGACCTTTTTTGTCCGGGATTTGACCCTTTACACAACATACATGCTGCTCTATTGCTCTCTGTGAGCCAGTACTGAACTTGTTGGTAGGATGGGGCATGAGCCATGGAAGAACCCATTCAATTTTGGGGCAGATCTGGATCAATTACTATTAATTAGAATTTTTTCCTCTGAAGTCTGGTGTATGTTGACACGGGCCTTGATGAAGGTCTGTGCTCTCTGAGTGCTCTTCTAGTTGTCTATATAACACCACTAAGATCACAGATACAAACACACAAATACTGCATTGAACAAAGTATATTACTAGAGAAAACAGTTTGTTGCCCATTAACACCATAGATTAACACACAACCTAGCTACATACTTCATGTTTTCACAGTGACAGTTGCAAGTTCTAACTAGTCATTATATTTACTTTTGTTTTTACTCTTAAAAATACAGAACAATACACACATTTTGAAACATTTTCTATAGGTCACAACTAGTTAAGCAAAGAAAAATATTTAAAAAATAAGTTGTCTGTGCCTTCACAAGCTATCTTTAAAACCATTTAGTTACCATAGACCCACTACCTCTGTGGCTCAGGTTTGTGTTTCCTATCAGATAAATAAAATAAATCTGAGTCTTATAAATAAACAAGCTGGATAGACAGCAGGCACAAAAAAGAAAAAGTGAACCCTTGGTTTTGGCGCTAACCTTACCTTTGTTGAAGCAGCTTTGTGAACAGCAGCTCAAAGTTAACTAATGCATCACATAAAATGAGATTGAAGTATTTATAAATGAATTATAAATACCTTGTTTTGTCTTTGACAGACAATAACTTCACTGCTTCCATACCATCTGTGAGTTATCGTTACGTTTTCATTTAACCATCTTTATTAAGACACCTTGAGTCACTCACAAATATAAACAGACATCACAAACAAGTCTCTTGTTTTATAGTCCATCATAAGATATTGTATCCTGTATCATGTATAAAAAAATATACTCTATAATATACTGTATATATAATACTAATAATCTCAGCAAATAGAAGTCAATACATATATGTAGAAGCAAATTTATTTAACAGTTGCACAGAAATAAAAATGAATAAATTATAAATGAATAAATGATATAAAAGAGAAAGAAAGTAAATTCCTGTTCCAGCTTGTAGTATACACTGATTTCACAGTGTCAGTAAAGTTTTGGAATTCAGTGATGAATACAGTAATGCATGGGGGAGATTTACTAAATTTGGATTTATATATATGAAATTTTCCTAATAAGATCAAACGATTTACTATCTGTTGTAATTTTTGGTTTTGATTCTCGTACAATAACATAACATCTTTGGCTACTAAATTGATTGTATCGTTTGTTTGATTAGCAAAGTGATTCTCGAAGGCTCTCCTAAATTTCCTTGTGACTGAACACTCAGAAAACAATTGTTTCATAGCATATTCTTCCGTTCACTTTGTTTCTGATTTCAGCAAATCGTGAGATGTGACCTTATATTGTAGTTCTTTTTTTTTTTAGGAATAGTACATTTGTAAACAAGAAGCCACATTTTTTTCCATTGAATATTAGAAAATTGGGAATTCCAAATAAATTTCCCATGTGGGGTTATTTCCCGTTTACTATAAAAGTACTTACAAAAAAATATATATTACTAGTACATTTATGACCTTTAATATCTACTTCATTTACATAAAGTGATGATCTTATCAGTGGTTCTTGTAACTCTTGGGGTTCATACAATCCTTTCATTAATTGCAAAATTCCACTAGGAATTGCATTAACAACCATTTGATATTCTTTGTATGTAACAGGAATGTTTCTGTGAGAAAGGAATTGTTCATAGCTGAAAATCGGTGGGTTTACCTTTTGTAAATCAGATAGGTAAATTATATTCCTGTCAATCCAGTGTTGTAAGTACAAAGATTTCTTCTTCCTTGTAAATATTCATTAT